GCCGCTGGGCTTGGAGTCGTGGTGCGGGGGCGGGGGCGCGTGGGCTGAGCGCTCCAGCGATTTTCTGCCTTTGTTTCGGCCAATTTTACGGGCTTGTTCAGGACGCGGCTTTGGTTCAGGTTTGGTTTCTGTTTGGTGAAGGGTTGAACGACGTTCAGCTTAAAGTTGGCGTGGCCTTGGTTTAGGGTTGATTTAGAAATGGTTGCTGTTTGATTGTCTGCTGTTCGGTTGTCTCGTCTGGGTTTTGGTTTGAGCTGGTCAGGGTTTGCTTGCGTTGGTTGGTTGGTTGGTTGGTCAATTGGTCGAGGGTTGGTTGGGCGTCGCGTTGGGGTTGGTTTGGGGTTCGCAACCATTTTGCGTTCATCTTGGGTGGCTTCGAGAAATGCTTCAGCCTGGTGAAGGGATTCGTGGTCTCTGATCAGTGCTGGGGTGAGTTGGTAGTTTTCGAGTCAGGGTTTGTCAATTGCTGTAGTTGTTTCTGTAGTTTGATTGGTTTCGTGTAGGGTGGCTTTCTGACTTGTTGGCTACGGTGGCTCTCTGCCTTGCATCGGCTCAAGGCTGGTCTGACGCTGGTTTAGTGTTAAGTTGGGGTTGGCTTGCGCTTGCTCTGAGTCGACTCCAGGATTCCCTATCAGCTTGAGCTTGGAAGGCCACACCCTCTGACGCGTGCGCCTGCAGCCGAAGCCCTGGGTGAACATCCGGGCGTTCAAGAGCTCACAAATTCCCAGAAAAACGCGGGGGCTTTCACTATCTTTCACGTCCTTTAAAAGGAACCGCATATTCTGGCAACGCGACATGATTTTTTCAACTGGCCAACAGGAGTTCTCTTTGCCCGGGCGTGCCAGACAGAGTGCAATTCTTGAAATTTTGCAAGAACCAGCGTGTAGGCGCCGGCCCCGAGGACCTCCCACCTCCAACACTGTTCAGCGTGTATGCTTCACAGACACAGCTTTAGGGTTTACGCAAGGTTTTGCTGGCCCCCCCCCAACACGTTTTAGGGCTAACGCTGGCCCCCAACTAGGGCTTATGATTGTCTACACTTTTTAGGGTTTATGCGGGCGCCACCAACACCTTTTAGGGTTTTTGTCGGCCCCACCAACACCTTTTAGGGTTTATGTTGGGCCCAGCAACACTGTTTTCGGTTTACCCAGACACATTATAAGGTTTTTGCTCGCCCCGCCACCACTGTTTAGGGTTTATGTTGTGTCCCCCACTGAGACCTGTTAGGGTTTGTGTTGTGTTCACTGTTTAGGGTTTGATGACCTGTTTTAAGGCTTATGTTGGCCTCCAGACACCTTTTAGGGAGGAGCGGTCGAGGACATTGGGGGCGGGCAAATCTCAGGGTCGAGCGAACAGGTGCATATGTGGACATGTAGCTTTTGATGTACAAACGCGTCAATGTGACATGTATATGTAGCTTTTGATGTAAAAACGCCTCTATGTGAATATGCTACTATGTATGTATGTGTGTGTGTGTATGTATGTATGTATGGCCATGAACCGCCGCTGTAGTCTATTTTGTTGCCAAAGGACACCTTGATGTTCAGCTCTCCGATGTTGGCATGGGCACTGCAGCTTGTTGACACACGCCTTGCTAAGCAGCCCCAGTTGGTGAGGCTGCTCGGGTTGGCCCGTCTGCGCCAGGGGATGTGTGCGTCGTCTACTTAAACCCCAAAAGGAAGAGCTACGGCTGATAACCACCTAAACGAGGAAGCAATTCACCAAACAAAGAAAGGGAACCAGCGTCTATTAACCCTGCTCCCGTTCGGCTGCAGGCATCAACCTCAAAGTCAAGTGTGTCTCTGTGTACTTCACGGGGCAAAGCTAAACACCTATGTGGGGACTTATCAAGGTCCACTTGAATTCCAGTTCACTTTGTGCAAAGCCCCACATGCGGAAAGGAATTCCGACTTAAATTCTGTATCGACAACACCGACTTGAGTTGCAATTAACTTCTTCAACCTCCTACTTGGAAAACCTACTTAAATTCTATATCCACATAGACATTTAAGTTCAATCATCCCCTTGTCTAGTTCTACCAAACGCCTAGTTGCATATCCTGGGCAGCCATCACTTGATCGCGCCGCGGTTGTTTCGCGTGCAGGTTGTTCGACCGTCGTGCGTGGTTTGGCTCGAGTGAAAGGATGCTGCTGTTCTGCTACGTTCCCGGGGAGGAGGTCGCTTGTGAACCACAGGTGCCTTGACTATCTCGCCTTCTGCGCGCGTGGTGCGCGCGTCACGCGGGTTGTCAGGAGGAGTGTAGATATCAAACTCTTCCGGCGCAGCTTGCGCACGGACGTGGCCGGAGCCACATGTCGGAGGAATAACTGAGCAGGATCCAGCCCCCATCCCGGCACAATCCTGCACACGTGAGGGCGTTCGCTGACACCACGCCGGCAGGCTGGTGTCTGTGAAGATGTCCGCGGGCAGATGGACTGGACGATCTCCGGCGCCTTTGCGAGGCGGCCTTTGGAACGCGGCACCCGCGGTCCCGCAGCCCAAGGCGACGCGCCCAGCCCAAGCTTCCCAAGTTTAAGGGCGCTTGCCCGCCGCATGCGTCCACAAGCATTCCACCTGCCCTGCGAATAAGGCTCCACCGCTTAGCTTAGTTGGGCGGGGCCAATCGTTTGCATTGCGCTTGACTGGCACGACGCCCTGGACACTTGTTGCGACAGGGACGCTCCAGAGCAGTGGCTTCTGCGCAGACTTGTGGGTGCAATTGTGCTGCCGCCCCCTGTCTTTCATTTGGTGTCATTTGCAGTTGTTGAGATTGCGTGTGGAACAGGTACGCAGTCAGACAGAGCTTTTTTAAGATTAGTACTGGGGCAACCCGTGTCCCAACATTGATAGTCACCTCGCAGCCAAACAGGCGCGGAAGGCAAGGCGGCCGTTTTAGCAGCGCCGCGTTTTCCTCAACGTCTGATCAGATAGAGTGTAGGCGCGCGTCACACCTGCCCAAGGACTACCTGTGGTTTTGCAAACGAGGGGGTAGTTTGCCGTGGGCCTGGTTCCGCAGCCGCGCGGTGCGGATTGTTCTGTAGGGCGCAAGTGTATAATAGGCAAGTGTCATGATGGGGCTGCAAACATAAGTTCAGGTTAAAGTACACCAAAAGCACACCATGAGACACAACCAACAACACACCCAGAGAAACATCCAAAAGAATACACCTTGTTGTGCAAACGCAGGCTTCCCTGCGCAAGGAGTTCAATCCCGCCTCGGCGCATGCCGGGAGGGAGTCCAACACAGAGACAGCACACACACAGGCATCCATGCGCGCACGCAGATGTGACTTACTACCTTTGTTTTTTGCGATAAGCGCCGCGAAAAGTTTGAAGGGCAACTGCTGTTGACATTTCAGCTCGTGACATGTTTTGCTACTTAGGTCACTGGCCTGTGTGGCAATTTTTAAATTGGAGGCAGTTGGCCGTACATCTTGCACTCATGTGGTATTTGTTTGAAAGTTGAGGGGCGTCTTGCCAGTGTATTGTTTGTTCGAATTGTGTATTTTGAAGTTGGGGGCCCCTGCGCATTGCCCCTGCTTTGACAGTTCTGAAACCGGGGGTCCCCCGCCAGTGATATTTTTCATGTGTTTTCGTACCTCGAAACCGGGGTGCATGGACAGTGTATTTTTTGGTCTTCCATTTTGTGTTCCATGTTGCGTTTCATGTTGTACTCCACTTTGGACGTTTTCTGCTTGCTCCATGTCCCCTACCTGACGGGGCGCAATATAGGCGCATGGACTTTAGTTGCAGCTGCGTTGTCAACCCTGGAGGTCAGCTTCCTATTCCTTTCTGGTGCGGCAGCACTATGTTGTTCTTACCGGGGAAATGTGGGAAGCCTTTCAGGCGGGGTGTCTAGGGCTGAAACTATTGGACGTCGATTGAAACAGCAGGAAGACATGACATGCTTTTTGGAGATGTCAGCTTCCTATTCTGTTCTAGTACTCACTCACTTACTCGCTCACTCACTCACCCACCCACCCACTCACTCGCCGACTCACGTCACTCACTGACTTGCTCACTCGCGTCACTCACCCACCCACTCACTCACTCACTCACTCACTCACTCACTCACTCACTCCCTCCCTCCCTCCCTCGCTCGCTCACTCACTCACTCACTCACTCACTCACTCACTCACTCACTCCCTCACTGCGCTCACTCATGAGTGGAGTGAGTGGAGCCAGTAGAGGGAGTGGAGTGAGTGGAATGAGTGGAGTGAGTGGAGTGACTGGAGTGAGTGGAGTGAGTGGAGTGAGTGGCGTGCGTGGCGTGCGTGGCGTGAGCGCGTGAGTGCGTCCGTGCGTGCGTGCGTGCGTGCGTGCGCGCGCGTGCGTGCGTGCGTGCGTGCGTGCGTGCGTGCGTGCGTGCGTGCGTGAGTGAGTGAGTGAGTGAGTGAGTGAGTGGAGGGAGCGGAGGGGGACGAGTGAGTGGAGTGAGAGGAGTGAGAGCGAGCGGAGTGGATTGAGTGGAGCGACGTGGAGAGAGTGGAGTGAGTGGAATGAGTGGAGCGAGTGGGGTGAGTGGAGTGAGTGGAGTGAGTGGAGCCAGTGTTGTGAGTGGAGTGAGTGGAGTGAGTGCAGTGAGGTGAGTTGAGTCAGGTGAGTGAGGCGAGGCGAGCGAGGTGAGTGAGGTGAGGTGAGTGAGTGAGTGAGTGAGTGAGTGAGTGAGTGACTCAGTCCGTGAGTGAGTGAGTGAGTGAGTGAGTGAGGTGAGGTGAGGTGAGGTGAGGTGAGGTGAGGCAAGGTGAGGTGAGGTGAGGTGGGGCAAGGTGAGGTGAGTGGAGTGAGTGGATGGAGCGAGTTGAGTGAGTGGAGTGAGTGGAGTGAGGGGGGTGAGCGGGGTGAGCGGGGTGAGCGGGGTGAGTGGAGTGAGTGGAGTGAGTGGAGTGAGTAGAGCGAGCGGAGTGAGCGGAGTGAGCGGAGTGAGTGGAGTGAGCGGAGTGAGTGGCGCGCGCGGCGTGCGTGGCGTGCGTGGCGTGCGTGGCGTGGGCGCCTGAGTG